TGTGTGTGTGGCCAGCTCAGCCCACCAGGGGGCGGGGCTGGCTGGCATGTGGTGCTGGGGGATTGAACCGTGGTCCCTGTGTTTTGCTTAGCTTAGCTTGTTCTAAGTAGGTGCTTTAGACCACTGAGCCATCCCACCAGCCCCTAACTTGTTATTATTGAAGTACTGTTTTTACTCCTTTAGAAGTACAAAATGTGGCTATTAAACAACCCTGTGATAATAGTCACAGTCAACTGTCTGCATATTCATCCATGTCATGTAATTTTTTTTTACATTGCAAAGTGTCTAACCCAGAGCCTTGCACATGAGAAGTAAGCACTTTACTGCTAAGCTTCATCTTTATCCCCAACATACTGAATTCTTTATTTTGATTTTGTTTACCTAACATGTAATTTTTTTTTTTTTTTTTGTGGCTGACTTAGCCTGTCCTGGGGGTGGGGCTGGTGCAGTATGTGGTGCTGGGGACTGAACCACCATCCCTGCCTACACTTGCCTAAACAGGCACTTTAGACCACTAAAGTGAGCTATCTCACTGGCCCCATAATCTTTTAAGAAAGAAGTTTCTGAAAATTTTAGGTTTTTTTTTTCTTCATAGGGAAAAACTGGATTTCTGACTCTGCTACTGAACCCTTGATGGAATGTCTGGTTAAACTGCTTGGTTTGGAAGTTTGATAAACAAATAGCTCTCCCACACTGTATTTAGATAGCCACCATACGTACAGATGGGGGCAGAGGGGTCTTTTTGAATGCTTCATTGTTTTCTTTCAGTCTCGGGATTCTTTTTGAATCCAGTTTATACTACTGTGTGTTTAAAACTGCCCTTAGGGAAAGTGGGCTGCTGGATTGTGATTTGTAGAAGAAATTTCATCTAGTCCACTAACGTGTGTCTTCAGTTACTAAATATGGGAAGAGCCTGGCAGTTGGTGCATTTATCTTTGATGAGAAGAAATACTTTGAGTAATATATTTCTGTTCCTGAGAAATGTATGCTTCATTTTAAGTTTTTTATAAGTTATTGTCATTATTAAAAATTGACATGTATTTGTAAAATTTTCTCAATTCGATTTTTTTTTATTTTTTTATTTTTTATTTATGCGTGTGTGTGTGTGTGTGTGTGTGTGTGTGTGTGTGTGTGGCCAGCTCAGCTCAGCCCACCAGGGGGCGGGGGCTGGCTGGCATGTGGTGCTGGAGGATTGAACCGTGGTCCCTGTGCTTTGCTAAGCTTGTTTTAAATAGGTGCTTTAGACCCCTGAGCCATCTCACCAGCCCCATCTCAA